CGGAGGACGCACTGTACAGGCGAGAGCACACCGAACACCCGGATTTGTCCTCGGCAAATCCGTCACCGCTCACTAACTAGTGTCTTTCAAATTATATTTTAGCCACAGACCCTTTCTTCAAACAAAAACGTAGAGAAGTGCAAAATATCTAGCAAATATGTGCTGCCATGTTTATAACCCCATAATTGATGATTGGTAAATTATTGTGCTGCTCCATAATTGATGATTGGGAAAGTCACTGTGTGCCCTCCAGCTGAACTTGTTTAGTCAAAATAACCTCAGTAAATTGGAATACTCCCTGAACCAAGAAATTGTTGGGAGCCGGCTACAGAGCCTGGAGGTCTTAAGTCAGAGACTCAACCTCCCCCACAATCTCAAGGAATCAGGCTTGCACTGTGTTCGTGCAGCTGGGGCTAAGTGTGACTCAATGTACCTTGAAATACCTGAAATACCTGGTGTACCCGGGTGTGCCTGGGTGTTCCTGGGCATGCCTGGGCGTACCTGGGTGTGCCTGGGCGTGCCTGGGTGTGCCTGGGTGTTCCTGTTGTCCATAAGGCAAACTAATCCTATACAGCATTGCTGTAGCCCTGGGCGTTATATCAAGATCCTATTTTCTGTAAGGTTTAAAAGGCATGTAATACAGCACATCAGGGCTGATTTCGAAAACTGTCACAGGGGTGTTCGGAATCAGACGCCAGCCGGCTAATAAATGGCCCCTATTTGGACGTCAATTCTCTAGTGGTCTTTCTTTGACTCTGTCGCGCCACATTTGGAGGCCCCGGGGCTGGTCTCCGAGAACTGGGATCAGTCGCCGGCTGGCTTTGCTCTCTATTTGGCTTTAATTTGGCTCTGGTGGTCTCTCGGTTCTCTGGTGCCACAACAAATACTACCGATTTCTCCTGAGGGTTAAGCCGTGCTGATTGAGTGGAGACGGGGAACCTTGACCCTCACCCGATAACTCACCATCCCATCTGGAGAACACTCCCAGGTGCGTCTGGAACCCCTCTGGCTCTGGAGAGCACAGTTCTCCGTGAAACTTGTTCCACCTCACTCTGGACCTTGCACTCCTTTCTAGAGGTTGTTCAGATAAGGAGCTCGGTGACGTTTATTAAATGTTAGGGAAGATGCTGATGTCCGTCACTTGCCCTGAAGTTTTCTGCTGATCTCCTTTTCCACATCCAGACCAGTACACATCCATCTTTTAACCGCGTGTTGTGTCTGGCCAGAAGGCCTTATCACCTCAGAGGTGGCTTTCAGCTCAGAAAGAAGAGAAAGATTTATTTGTTTCTGCTTTTCTCTAAACTCTGTACTTTCTTCCCAAAGGATAACAAATTCAGTTCCACTTTTTTCATTCACCAGGTTCATGGATGGAATATTTGGTACTTGTGATTTATGGTCTGAAACTCTCTGCTCTCTTGACTTTTGTGATGTCCTGTTCAACTTCTTTTCTTCCTTATATTATCGTCTTCTTCTCGGCCTCATTTGCTAACAGATTTTTCTCCTTTTTTTGCATTTAGTGCTCTGTCTCTGGGCAACTTATTTCTTCTTCTTTTACTCTCCAGACAACTAATCCATGTCCAGGGTTCAATGATCACTGCATTGTAGATGGTGCTCAATGCAGAGTGAGCTTCAGTCTCATATAGATTCAGTGTTTCACTCAACATGTAGTGACATTTCTACCTTGAGCTCATAATAATTCTTTAAAGTCAGTTTGTCTAATACGTCCAGTATCATATTATCACCACTGTTTCCAGCCCCAACTTATCTCTTGTGCCATCAGCAACCCTATTCTCCCAGTCACCAAACTTGAAACCTTGGAACTGTATTATTTATAACTTTTAGTCCTTAAATATCTTAGATTTTATGTTCAAAACTTCTCTTAGATGTCTCTTTGCCAATGACTTCATGTCATAGAATTTCAGAACACGAAGCTTTCTCACTACACAGTTGTTAATCAGTAAATATTTCTTAAATCTGGATCTAGTCAGAGAAATTCTAAAAGTTTGTTCACATTCTAACAAATCTCTGCCTCCTGTCTCTCATCTTGATGGTCTGTCTCATACACTGTGATTTAAAAATGAAAACGTCACCCTGGCCAGTTTGGCTCAGTGGTTGAGCATTGGCCTGCGGACCAGAGAGTCCTGGGTTCGGTTCCCACTAGGGGCACGTACCACAAAAAATAAATAAATAAAAATGAAAACGTCAATTGAAGTTAGGAGACAGTTTACCTTGGGGAGAGGAGGGTGTCTGAAGTCCTAGCCATGTTCTCTCTCTCGAGTGGGCTGGTGTTTCCAAGGGAGAATCACACTCTTCATCAAGTGTGATTTGGGCAGGTTTCTCTATGAGTGTTATTTTAAAATGTTTTTAAAGCAGCCTTTGGATTGACACCAAAAAGGAAAGATATTACTGCTGATCAAATGATATTTCTAAAAAGCTACAGATTCTCTCTGAAATTTTTAGGTAGGCAGAAAATTTTAATTCTGAAAGTACCAGAGAGAGGATGTGGAGAAATAGGGGCATTACTGGTGGGGGTGCCAAGCAGTACGTGCTGCAAAGCTGGAAATGGGTGCACCTTGCGACTGGACAGCCCTGCTGCAGACACACCCCCAGGGGAACTTCTGCCCATGTGAACAAGGAGCTGTGGGCAACATGTTCCTTGCAGGGTAGCTTATAATAGGAAAAAGTAAAATCAAATCAACAGCCCATCAACAGGATCGATAAAATGTGTTTTTTATATAGTGAAATATTAAACAGTTAAAAATATATACATTTATAACCACAGGGCTCTAAAAATACTATCATGAATGAAAAACAAATGCAGAATATGTATAGCATAACACACATGCCTCTTTAAAGTATAAAACTGTACTATGTATTTATTCCTTGACACATGTATGTGTTCATTATTTTTGAACGGCTGAAGGAAACACTCTTCATGAAGCAGTAGCCTCCAGAGTGGATGAAGGGACTGGGATTGAGCTTGGGCACAAAGGATGCTGTCACTTCATCTTCAATTGTCCTGTTTCTTTAAAAAAATGCAAATATGACAAAATGTTAATATCTGTTCATTCTGGGCGACGGCTCACAGGGCGTTAGCGATATTATTTCTTGTAATTTTCCCTTTGTTTAATTTCTGAAAATGAAAAATATCATTGAGATAACAGCATCTTTCATCATTTCATCTTATGTATTGTTTGGGTATTTTATGTTCCTGTTTAAGAAAAAAAATGTATATAAATATAAACATAGCTGAGAGCTGAATTTCCTTTTGTTTAATGTTTATGCTCACTAAGCAGACTTGTTTTATTTAACATTCTTTGGTATCAAAATGTGGCCTTCATACAAAGTTGTGCAGAGTAAATCAAGAGGGCTCACAGTCTTTGTATGAAGAACGCACTTCCTGTGATCAACCTCCTCGGGCTCCTGGAGCCAAAATAGCACAAGCTAACAGGGAAACAAGAAGTCAAATAGATTTCCTCTTTGGTGCTAATGACTTGTTGGTATGTGATTGTTAAGACTGAAGGTCTAAAACCACTAATGTTAATTGGACAGTCTCCAGGATGTTTTCAGGGTCATTTCCACAAGACTGACCGAAGTATGAGACCCTGCCCGTCCCACCACTGACAGGCTTCCTGCGTGAAACCCTGGGCAGCACAGAAGTCCCGCTTCGGCGGGGGAGGGGGTGCTCTCCCAGCCCGTGTACCCGGAGGTGGACAGATGGGCCCAGCAAGGGGTGAAGTCGTTGCTTTCACAGGCGTGTCACAGACCAGGGCTGTTAGTCACTGGGCAGGTAGTCAGGCTGCCTTTGGAATGCACCCAAGGGGATTGCTCTGACCACATTTGAAAAGTTAACAGATAAATGCGGACTTAAAACAGACTAAATATTATACAGTTAGGTCCTAAGTTGAGGCTTTTAAACACAGACCGGTAGGAGTGAGGTGGGGGACCTCTGAGGAGAGTAGAACTCAGGTCTCTGTGGACCTTCCTCCTCCTCCCCATAGGCAGATAGGGGAATAGGGGGTGATCCAAAAGGAGGAAGTGAGCGTGCTCAGCTCAGACCCTTGTGTCTGTGGAACTGGGGAGCCAGGTGCCCGGGGCAGCTGCAGCACTCTGGTCTGCTCCGAGCTGCATTCCAGGGAGCCTGCGGGTGTCCGGGTGTCCGGGTGCTCAGGGAGGGTGGCTTGGTCTTTCCAAGTCGGGGGTCGGTTATTAGCAAGGCCTCTCTGTCACAGAGCTGAATCTGTGTTCTCTCCAGTCAAGGTTATTAGAAACAAAAGCAATATTTTTAGCTGCACATATCTGGCCTCTACCTCTCAATTGATTCCAAACTCAAAAAGGGAAGAGGGGCAGGTATTAATTGCTTCCCTCGAAAACCGGATTGATCAATTAATAGAAGACCTCAAGATGATAAATGAATCCATGATACAACACAATAATTTGTATAGCAAATTATTCCTACGCCCATAATTATCCCATCTGAATGGTTAACTCATTTACTTTTAGATTTCATGCCTGTGGTTAAAAAATGAATATATGCACTACTTATCACGGCATGCTTGACCTCTTACAGCTTGAGATAGACTCCATTAAAATATACATTTTATAGTGCATTATCTCCCTAGGTATACGTTTACACAGAAAATGTACTTATTTAATTCAGTCATTTAACAGCAAACGCAAAAGACACACAAACAACCCACCACGCTGTAACAGAACACTGTTCTGCACATGGCCAGCTGTACATTGGCAGAACACAGTGATTTTAAGGGTGAATTAGTATTCTAATCTCTTTGGGATTTCCTTTATATTCGTGGTGGTTTATGACTGACGTTTAATGTAACTTTGGCTCTGTTTATACTTAATAGAAGATTCATTTCTGTGGCATTTATACTCCAGTGTTGAATAAAAGCTACTGTTCTGCAAGAAGGAAATGAAACGTTGCTTTATACCGACACGTTCCGATAGCAGTGACCTAATTCTCCCACCCTGCTTCTTCCCAGGTGCTGGGAACGGCTCTGCTCCAGCAAAAGATGACTTTTCTCTCCCAGAATATTCAGCCTTCAACACCTCTGTCCATGCTGCAATCAGATACAGAAACTGGAAACTCCTCACGGGCTACCCAGGTAGAATGCTCAGCACTTCCCAAAATGTAACAACTGCCTTTTGCCAAACCTAACTCAGGGGCTGCTGAATGAGGAGGAGGGGGGAGTAGTGTGACCTACTGATCCTGACCCTTCCCCCACCCCGGAAAAAAAAATTAAGAATTAACTGTAGGAACAGTAAAAGGAAGAAATGCTGCATGGAAATAAGTTTTTCAGATATGTGTGGTTCTCAAGCACAGCAAAGAGAATCTCTGAGAGCTACATCCTCAGCCAGCTCGGGGAAGAGGCTGCTTCCCCCTGAGCGCATTCTCTGAAAGTGACATCTGTTAAAATACTTTAAAAATATGTGGCATGATGGTTAAGGTTGGGATGCTGTCAAGCAGTGTTTATAATGAGGACATTCTTGGAGATTGTGGCAAGACAATTCTTCACTATTTGCGACTGTGCCATGTGTCGCAAGACATTTTAGCAACCCTGGCCCATGGCATCCAAATGCCAGTAGCAGCCCCCAAGTCATATAATGGATACTGCCCCCCCCCACACACACATACTCACATACAGGCACTCACATTCCTGGATGCCCCTGGTTGTGAAGCAGGAGACATGTCTCATTAAAGCACCAGAAGTCAGCCCTGGCCAGTTTGGCTCAGCCGTTAGAGTGTCGGCCCATGGACCAAGGAGTCGCAGGTTCAGTTCTGATCAAGGGCACATACCTGGGTGGCAGTTTGATCCCCAGCTTTGCTTGGGGTCCTGTGGGAGGCAACCAATCGATGTGTCTCTCTCACATTGATTTTTCTCTGTCTCCCTCCCACTCTCTCTGAAAATTAATGGGAAAATGTCCTCAGTTGAGGATTTTTTTTAAAACACCAGAAATCTGAGTGTTAGATCTAGACATAGAATCAAGGGCCCATCCTTTTCATGTGTCCATGCCCAGCTCAGCTTTGTCCCTCAGGCTCCCTTCTCAGAATTAGAACTCGCCTACCATGTTCCTCTTCAATAAACTGTTGTATTTCTTTGCCAGGCTGTGGTCACTGGTTCCCTCCACCATCTCAACACAGTGTTTCTGAGATACCCTCGTTGGACCCACCAACCAAGACCCTCTGGCTCTTTGACATTGAGCAGGACCCAGAAGAAAGACATGACCTGTCCAGAGAGTATCCCCACGTGGTCAAGCAGCTCCTTTCCCGTCTACAGTTCTACCACAAACACTCCGTGCCCGTGTACTTCCCGGATCAGGACCCCCGCTGTGACCCCAAGGGCACTGGGGTTTGGGGCCCTTGGATGTAGGACTTGGGGCTGCCTTGGGTGGGAGGCTGGAAGACCTTTCTGTTGCAAGTTGGACTTCGGACCTTCACTCGTGTGATTCTCATCCCATTTGTTCTCCCAACCTGGCTTCACCTGGCCCTTCTCTTGCTCCGAAACCGAATTGACGAGTCGCATTTCAACCCCTCATGCATTTAAGAAGTTGACAAAATCTAAAACACTCCTGCTGTTGGCAGGGGGTGTCCAGAGGAGAGGGTGACTGAGTTCATGGGGCATGCCCCTTCCAGGAGTGGGGGGCAGCTGGGAACTGGATCTGAGGAGGAAGCTGAGTCCTGGAGCAGCTGGCTCCTGTCGCCTCCCGTCACATGTTACATGTCCCTCTGCCAATGACCAGCTTTGATCGGAGTGACTCACATTTCTTGTAACAAGTGAAGGGATCAGACCATTGTTAATGGCTCTGCTGGCCAGGGGGGCTCCCTGTCTGTGAGAGATCATGTGCAGGCCTTCCGTGTGCGTCACCCTCCGTGGTCACCCCGCGCCCACTCACCTCATCACTCGCCCCGTCCTGGAGGGCAAGGCCCATTCCACTGCCGAGGCCAGCATGGCAGTAGGCCCGCCGCTTGGTTCTGGTCTTTACAACAAAGAACTGTGTCTTTATTCCCAAGTTTTACCCCAGTCGTTGCTCATTTTCTGTAGACTTCCTGCCACCCCAGCTCCCCTGTGGTTTTCTTCCTCCCCTTCCTTTCGACTCGGGCCTCCTGTGCCTGCGAAGCCTGCTCTGCTCTCCGCTCTGAGCGCCGCTGGTTTGGGCACTCGGACCTCTGCCTTCCTTTCGACCCCAGCTCCCAAGTGAGAGCCCTGCCCAGATGGTGGCCGGCCTGGCCCTGAGTGTGCTCGTGGTGGACGTGAAGAGGCCTGGGCAGGTGAGCCTTGGGTTCGTGTCATCTGTCTGGTGAGGAGTTTTCTAGTAACATGGAGTTGATCATCATGATTGTGACTTTGTCTCATAACATAGCGAGAGTCGCACTGACTGCTATTGCCCGCAGTGAGGAAAATCCCCAGGAAGGGTACTGTTGTTCTGAGATGATGGGAATGGCCAGCGTCTAAGATTCTGGGCCTTGGTGAAGCCAGGCGAGCACATCCATGCTTCTCTTATTCTCCCAGTTTTACTGCTTTTATTGAGGTTCGGGGGTGGGGGGTATGCACAGTGTGACCTGCCAGCCCTTCCTCAGGCCCGCCAATGTCCTACTGATGCGGATGGGTCCAGTTTAGCTGCAAAGAGTATCAGACTGGAGACGTGGTGCAAAACGGGACTCTTTTTCGCATTCGCTGCACTTTTCATTCACCGCCTGTCCCCAGGGCCTGCTTCAGTGCCCGCTGCACCGGAGGCACTCGGCACACTTTTAAAAATGAACGAGTGAATGGGCCAAGGAGCACATGAGAAAGTCTCACACCGAGAAAGGTGGTGTCCAGTGAGCAGAAAACAGGGTTAACATCACTGTCTCCCAACCACTGCTTCTCTGTTCTCAAGCCACCCGCTAGGGTCGGAGCACAGTCCGCACGTCTGGGCAGTCGCAGGACACGCCGTAGTGAGGTTGTCGTGTCCTCTGGCTGGGGTGGAATATGCCCACCAAAGGTACTCATCTTTCGCCAGTATTCCCCAGTCTATCTATTCTTCTTAGGACACTATAAAGAGAAACTACCAAATAATATGACATAGGTCTCAGTATAGCCGTCTTCCAATTCAGTAACTGTATTTTCTGGTCGCTACTAACTTGGATTGTATTAAAATAGGATGACTGGAAGGAAATGGTGCTAGAACTAATGACACCTATTACCAGCCGATACCCCACTCCCGGCTTGGCAGACAGCCGGTCAGAATGCTGTCACCTCTCTCTCACTTCCAAGCCTGTGGCAGATTTATGAACTGAGTCCAGATGCTCCTCCTAATCCCAGGGCTGTAGGTTGCCACTAATACTGTGAGATTGGAGGCAGCACTAGGTGACACCTCTGTCCTCCCTGCGGTCCCCACTCCAGCTCCTGCTGTGTACAGTGTCCACGTTCGGCATTCAGGATTTAAAAAGCATTTTAAAGATTGATTTTCTGTAAAACTTCTGCTGGGATTTAATTTTATTCACAATAGAATGCGTCTCATTTAATTTTTTTCTTCTGTACTAGACTGAGCAGATTCATATGTGGTCATTAAAAGTATTAATGTTTTTTTCTTTCTGAATTTGTTTATTGTTAAAGCAGGGTTTTGTTTCTTTTATTGTTTTTCTTTGTTGCTTCATGATTATTCCGCCTTTGGGGGAACAGAAACAATTAAAATTATCTTTTAGAATGTGTCAGCTGTGTGTGGGGGGTTTCCATGTGTATGATGAAAAATTCCTGGAACAACATCATGAATGTACTTAGTGCCCCTGAATTGTACACTTTAAAATGGTTCAGATTAATTTTAAGTTATGTAGTTTTTGTCACAATTTTTAAAATGTGTTGTCCCATTTTTTTCTTTCCCAATTACCTCTTAAACTTTAAAACCTAGCTTTTCCAAGAGAATAGCCATCGCCTGTGTAGACTGGTCCATTTCCAGGCTGTTGAAAGGCCGGCCTGCTCGCCTGGCGACCACCCTTACCGGCGGCTGGGAGCAGGTGTTCAGTCCGTGTTGGGGTACTGCCACATCCCCTTCACCTCGGCTCCGTTGCCATAGGAGCCACCCCCAGGTGGCACAGGAGGAGGCTGGTGACTTGGCTGCCCTGGGCCCCATCTGAGCTGTTTGATTGTCAGGAGAGGTGATTTTGCTCTCAAACTAATTCACCCAGTCATCGAGCTTAGGTATTTCATGTACTAATCTTTGTCATTCTTCTAACAATAGGGATAATATCTCTGTAACAGTTTTTAAAAATACAGAAAATTGTAAAAGAAAATTAAACCCTTCATAAGCCACCCACCCAGAGATAGCTATAAACCTTTTATGTCCCTTGAAAGGAACAGTGAGGCCTCCCACTTCCCGAACTGGTTTTCTAATCCCAGCTGAGTCCTCACTGGAGGCTTAAGATGGTAGATGAAGAGGATGTCCTCTCCTGGAAATCTTCCTTTTAATCTCATTAATGAAATATTGATGTGCCCAGGATTTTCACCCCAAGGGTTCGTGAGTTCACATACACTCACACACACACACACACACACACACACTCCTTTTCTCTCTCTCCTCCTCTCTCTTCCTCGCTCCCTCTCTCCCTGCCTTCCTCTCTCCCTGCCTCCCTGCCTCAGGTAAGCAGGATTTACTGTGCCTTAATTTACGTTAAATAAACCAAAGCTGGGATTTGCCCTCTCTGCCATCATCCTGCTGCCAGGATCATTCAAGTTCACACTGCACTGGAGGCAAGGACGGGACCGCCATGGCAGCCAGGGGAGGAGGGTGCAGAGGGTCAGACCCCGCTCCGCTGAGGTGCACCTACCAGGGGTTCAGCACCTGCCAGGGGTTCAGCAGGCAGGAGGCCTAGGACAGGGCAGAGGGGATGTGGAAGGGGCTCCCAAGTCAGAGGAAATGCAGCCTGAAGATCTGCAAAGGAATTTATTTACCCTGATTTTTGCTTTTTATTTTTACACCCATGAGACTAGTGCATTCTTTCTGTATAAACTATTTCTTTCTTGTTGAAAGTGTTACAGATGTCCTCCATTTTCCCCCCCATTGACCCTCTCCTTCCTGCTCCCACCCATCTTCTGCTTTCCCCAAACTAATGTCCATGTCTATTGGTTGTGCATATATGCATAGAAGTTCTTTGTTTTATCTCTTCCCACCTCACTACCACCCATCCCTCTGAGGTTGTCAGTCTGTTTCCTACTTTCCCGTCTCTGGGTCTGTTTTTTTTTGTTTTGTTTTTTCAATCCTCACCCGAGGATATTTTTCCATTTTTTGTACAGATAGAGTGGGAGGGAGAGAGAGGAAGGGAGAGAGAGACAGAAACATCGACGTGAAGGGACACATCGAGTGGCTGCCACCCGCACGACCAACCAGGGCCGGGGGCCGGGGACAAACTGCAACCAAAGTACATGCCCTTAGCGGGAACCGAACCCGGGTCTCTCCGGACCGCAGGCCTACGCTCTAACCGCTGAGCCAAACTGGCCAGGGCTCTGGGTCTGTTTTGATCGACAGCTTATTTTGTTCATGATATTCCATAAATAAGTGAGATTATGTGGTATTTGTCTTTCTCTAACTGGCTTATTTCACTTAGCATAATACTCTCCAGGTCCCTCCATGTCATCTCAAAGGGTAAGAGATCTTGTTTTCCACTGTGTATATGTACCACAGCTTTTTCATCCACTCATCTACTGGTGGACACTTGGGTTTTTTCCAGATCTTAGCTATTATAAATAGCACTGCTATGATCATAGAGGTGCATATACTCTTTCTGATTGGTGTTTCAGGCTTCTTAGGGTATATTCCTAGAAGTGGAATCACTGGATCAAATGTCAATTCCATTTTTAATTTTTTGAGGAAACACCATATTGTTTTCCACAGTGGCTGCACCAGTCTGCATTCCCACCAGCAGAGTACTCTAGAGTACCCTTCAATAATGTTGGGAAAATTGGACAGGTACGTGCAAAAAAATGAAACTAGACCATCAACTTACACCATACACAAGAATAAACTCAATGGATAAATGGATAAAACATTTAAATGTAACGCATGAAACCATAAAAATCCTTGAAGAAAATATAGGAAAACCTCAGACATCATATATAGCAGAATTTTCACTGATACATCGCATAGGGCAAGAGAAACAAAGGAAAAAATAATAAATGGGACTATATCAAACTAAAAAGCTTCTGCACAGCAAAAGAAACCATCAAAATGAAAAGGGAACCCATTTTCTGGAAGAACATATTTGCCAATGATACATCAGATAAGGGGTTAATATCCAAACTATATTGAGTACTCATACAACCCAACAAAAGGAAGACAAACAATCCAATTAAAAAATGGGCTGAGGACCTGAATAGACACTTCTCCAAACAGGACATACAAATGGCCAGGAGACAATGCTCAATGTCACTAATCATCAGAGGGATGCAAGTTAAAACAACTATGAGGTATCACCTCACACCTGTCAGAATGGCCACCATCAGCAAATCATCAAACAACAAGTGCTGGGGAGGGTGTGGAGAAAAGGGGACTCTGTAGAAACTATTGTTACAAGTTAAAATCTTTGATTAGATACTCTGTGTTAGGAAGGCAGCTCTAGGGTATGGAAATGTTACTTGGGGCTTCACAGTAAGGCAGCTGGGTTTTCTTGGTTCTTAAGCCAGCACTTGGATGCAAGTGTTGAGGTTTAGCACACACCGGAGATGGAAGTATGTGGGCCCTCATCCAGGGCTCCAGGCTGAGGAGAGGCCCCCTGCAGCGGGACCTGCGTGTGTTCTGTCACTGAACTCCACAGGTCCTTCTTTCCCCCCAAAGCTGGTCAAGCTCCGTAGGCAGCCAGGGAGGGGAGGATACCCCAGGGATCCCACCGCTCCCCGGGCCCCACCCAGATCCCTGTGGCTCACATGGTCTCTTTCACTGCCGGAGTCTTAACATGGTGCTTTCCCTTCAACTGACATTCTGTGCTGGAATAAGTAATTATCAGGGATTCTGTTTTCTCACCGCGGGGAAGGGAAAACTAGTGTCATTGGTAATCACAAAAATGTACCCAGTGAATCCAAATTGCCCTTAAATTTGAACTAAGAACTATTTCTGACCAGGAAGGAAAGGAAAAAATTGAAGAGTGAGTACATATTCCACTGAATGATTTATGACCACCAGTGCAGGGCCGTGTATTGGCGACACTGGTGTGGAGATAAGGAACCTCCCTCAGGGCAGGCACATGAGGCCAGTGTGTGCCAGGCGGCACCTCACTGGTGACTGGCACCCTCACTTGGTGATGTGCTCTGTCCCCTCCGTGGGCCGTTTCCTCCAAGAACCACAGCTGCACTTTTCCTCCAACGGTGTGTTTTGTTCATGTGCCTGCAGACCTCGAAGCTGGGGACACATTCAAAATGCATTAAATGTGTAAACACAGGAGGAAACCAACATACACGTCCTCGGCAGCACAGCAGAGAAATCGCAGAGCCACCGAAGGAAGAAGCCAGGGAAGCCAATGCACAAGCTGGTGGAGATGCAACACACAGAAAAATGTTTTGAAGAAATAAACGCTGAGAAGAGGCACAGAGACAACATGGAGGTTTCCCCCCGAGTCTTCAATTCCTAGATTGTAATCTGTGGTCCCCTGGATCACAAAGCTGCCCTCCCAGGAGACTCAGTGTCACCAGTGCCTAGAAATTGCTCCTACTCTTTTTCCTCACCAGCCAGCTCAGTCTCCCGGGTGCCCACGTGGGCCACAGCTGGCCCAAACTCACCACAACCTCCTTGGATATTGTAAATGAGCCCATCGGTATGCCATCTCTTGCTAATCACAGGGGCAAGGCAAGGAACCTTCACTGAGGACATCCTGTACACCAAACACCATTTGACTTTTATAATGGCTACTAAACTCTTCACAGTCAGATTCGAGCATTAGGTAAATGGTTTTTGCATCTCAGAAAGTATATTGCATGAAGTCACACAGCCAGGAGAGCTGGAAATGGAGCCCAGATTGCTCTTAAAAAGCCCTACTCTCTACAGTGCTCTCCTGCAACCTTCCCTCCTTTCCCTTTGTCCTGCACCTTTAAGACACAGGATAATTTGTAGGAAGTCCTGTTCTTACAACTTGGGCCTCAGGAAGCCTCCGGTGAGTGACCATCAACCTGGCAGAGGACCTGGGATGGGAGGGGACAGAAAGCCGGTGGGAGACAAGGGCAACAGTTCAACCAGTTACTATCTTGCTAAGCTCTGGTGGGGGTGGGGGTTCCTACTAGCCCCCCGACTACTCTCGTTAATACAAAGTCAACAAGACCTCATTCACTTTCTGTGTTCAAGGCTCTGAAGTGAAGAGTAGCAGACACTTCAGATATCAAGGATATTTTTTTCTTTTCTTTTTTTTTTCAATCCTCACCCGAGGACATTTTTGCATTTATCTTCAGACAGAGCAGAAGGGAGAGAGGGAGGAAGAGAGAGAGGAGAAACATCAACGTGAGAGAGACACATCTACTGGTTGCCTTCTGCATGACCCCAATGGGGCCCGGGGACAAACTGCAACCAAAGTACCTGCCCTTAGTGGGAACCAAACCTGGGACTTTCTGGTCCTCTTGCCGACGCTCTAATCACTGAGCAAAACTGGCCAGGGCCCAAAGATATTCC